TCTGCTGATTGTTTTATGTGTCTTATAAACTAAATGGTGCATGACACTGAACAAGTACAATAAACTCAACTCAACTCAACTAAACTATCTGGTGACAAAAAGGTGAAACGGTTTGAAACAGGAGGAGGTGAAGTTTTGACACTTGGTTTTACACTGTGAACAAAAAGTTGGTGATGAAGAGATGCTGGTTATGAGAGAAAATGTCAGTAACCATGGATACGGTGGTGAAAATATTCAGGAGAAATGTTTCAAAGAATTTGACTAGAGAAATGAACAGAAACATGTTCAGTGTTTTGTTGGATAACGGACACAGAATCACTTTGTACTTTTACTTTGTGGCAGAGACTTGAAAAGGACAGAAAATGTTTTGCTGCTGGAGGAGAGTTTGACAAATCACACAGTTCAGTGCTAAATTTAGAAAATGTAAAAAGTGTCACAGGGCAGGAAACAGGTTTTTGATGTGATGAAACTCCACAGGAAATGTACATTAGTTGATCTGCGTCGTTATGACAAACTTTATACAAGTATAATCCACGTTTCAGTGTGGAGGATAAATGTCATGGAGATTATAAATGTCATGTGGAGGAAGAAAAAAAGGACTCAGAGGAAAAAATCTGTGTGGGTTTTTTTTTGTTTTTTTTGCTGCTGCTGTTAATGATGATTAATAATAATAATAATAATAATAATAATAATAATAATAATAATCATCTGTATTTGACGATATATGAATCAATCCATCGTCACATGGTTCATCTTTATCTCTGTTAGACTAAATGTGAGTTGTAAAATGTGATTTGGAGTTTGCTTAACTAAAAAAAAAGAAACTTATAATACAGATTCATGAAATAATATAAAACAGTTTTGTTTGCACAGAAATGTATTTTAAAATATATGAAACAATATGTAGAAACAGATTGACCGACTTTATATTATTATAAATGTTCAAATATACGAGGTTTAAGTCCTGGTTTAGTCCTGGTTTAGTCCTGGTTTAGTTTCCTGGTTTAGTCCTGGTTTAGTCCTGGTTCAGACCTGGTTTAGTTCCTGGTTTAGTCCTGGTTCAGTCCTGGTTTCAGTCCTGGTTTAGTTCCTGGTTTAGTCCTGGTTCAGACCTGGTTTAGTCCTGGTTTTAGTTCTGGTTTAGCTGGTTTAGTCCTGGTTCTGGTTTAGTCCTGGTTTACTGGTTTTCTGGTTTAGTCCTGGTTTAGTCCTGGTTTAGTTCCTGGTACTAAACACTGAAAATGGATTTACATTTTAAAAACAGTAAAACTCAGGCAGAGCGACGTTAAAAAGAGGATATTATATATTTTATATATATTTTATATTAGGATATGATATAAAAATAAAAGTTTGTTTCTGTGTCTCGTGTTTTAACCCTGTTCCTCATCAGAAACACGCCTGAGGAGGTTGGACACGTCGTCCACGTCGGAGGACTTTACTCTTGACACGCTCGCTCCTGATTGGCTCGTTGGTTGCCATGACGACCTGGACCAACGTGAGCGGATGAGCTGTTTCGGAAAGTTTTATATCTGATTTGACGTGTTCGTCTTTACGAGAAAAAACACAAACCATCAAGATAAGAAGGTGTTAAAAAACAGGATGCTCAAAGAGCAGACTCAGGTTCAGACCTGGTTTAGACCTGCTTCAGTCCCAGGTCAGTCTTACTTCAGTCCTGGTTCAGTCCTGGTTCGGTCCTGGTTCGGTCCTGGTTCGGTCCTGGTTCGGTCCTGGTTCGGTCCTGGTTCGGTCCTGGTTCGGTCCTGGTTCAGTCCTGGTTCAGTCCTGGTTCAGTCCTGGTTCTCGGACATGTTCCTCAGGGTGATGCTCCGGTCCCTCTGGTGTTGGGGTGAGTTCTGGCTTTTTTGGCTTTCAGATTTTATTTGATGAACAGTGGAGGAAATAAGTATTTGATCTGTTGCTGATTTTGTAAGTTTTCCCACTGAAAAAGGAAAGAACAGTTTATAATTTTAATGGTTGATTGATTGATTGGTTTTTATTTGGAGTTTGTGCCAAGAGAGAAACAATAATCATGTTACTACATGTACATTGTAAACAACAGAAAAACACATTTCTCGAAAAGGAGGAAAGAAGAAAAACTTATATGAACCCACCTCTTCTGAACATTGATCACGCAACTTAACAAATATTTACATAGAGCAAAATCAATTACATATTATACAAACAAAATATAATTTTAACACCAAAATTTTTTTTTTTCCCCATTTTGTACTGTACACATATATATAAATAAATAAATATATATACTTTAATTTTGTACATATATATGTATATATATACATATATATATATATATATATATATATATATATATATATATATATATATATATATATATATATATATATATACACACACACACATATATACTTTTTTTTTAAGAGGTTTATTTATTTATTTACTTTTTATTTATTCAGTTTTGTGAAACAAACAAACACAAACCCTGGGGCAGTGTTCTGTTGTTATAAGGATGTAGAAGTCAAGTCTCTTTATGTTTATATTTCAACCATTTTGTCCAGTGTTTCATGAAGAAATGTCCTTTGAGACGTAGAAAAAAAGTCAGTTGTTCCATGGAGAATATTTCTTCTGTAATGTCGAGTCACTGATTCACTGACAGTGGGTTTTTTAAGCAGCTTCTTGTTATTGTTTTTTTTTTTTTTTTTTATGTCAAAGTCAGAATCTTAAAAAGGTTCTGTCCCTTTTTCCATCTCCTCTCCAGACAGAAGGTCCAACAAAAATATCTTCAGGTCCTTGGGGACGACATAAGTCAAGATTGTATCTGTTTTTTCAAACACATTATCCCAGAATGATTTTAATTTGATTTTAATTTTGTACATGTATTAAAAATCTGAGAGTGTTTGGTGTTTGAGCGACCGCACCGTCTCCAACAAAGAGAATCTGACCCTTGAGCTCTGGAAGGAATTTGAGGAGTAATAAAGAATCGTATAAAACACTTCCACCTGAATTCCCTCCACATTTTGGAGCGAGTTGGTTTTTGTTGTTTTGCTGCACGTCAAAAGTCAATCATCCTCTGATAAAACAACACGCTGCTCTTCCTCCCATTTAGATTTAACATAAAATGTGTTATTACCCTTTTGTATTTGCAGCCCTTTATAAAGTTTACAGACAGATTTGCTGGGCAGAGTTTTATAAATATATAGAAAAGCAATATTACTGTTGTCATCTTGGTTTATTTCTGTGTTGTAAAAATGACGAACTTGTAAATATCTAAACAAATCTGTGTTTTCCAAGTTGAATTCAGTTTTCAAATTTTCAAACGATTTAAAAGTTTTTCCCTCCACAAACGTTAATCCTTTTTCTTTCCAAGATGAAAAAGTTGAGTCTGTATCACTCGGTTGAAACCTTGAGGAGGAAAAGGGACCAGATCAAGATTCCAACTGCTTTCGACAGATGATATTTTCTAATAACTTCATGTCATGTGAGCAGAGTTTTCTCCACGATAGTTTCTCCTGCTACACACTTTTATTTTTCCTCCTAGTTGTGACGTCAGTGGAGGGTTTCCCAAATTCAACTCTATTTGTTTCCATCCTGCTTCAAAATCAGGAGAACACCAGCAAACTATGTTTCTTAGTTGGGCTGCATAATAATATTCTTTCAGATTAGGGACAGACAAACCTCCACATTCTTTACTAATCTGGAGAGTTTTGAATTTGATCCTTGGTCTGGTACCGGCCCAAATAAATCTCAATATTATCTTGTCTTGGATTGAACTGAGAATCTGAAATTCTAATTGGTAATGACATAAAAAGATAAAGAAATCTTGGCAAAAGGTTGAACTTCACCGCTTCTATTCTTGTGGTAAAATCCAGTGTCAAAGATGACCACCGGGTTCTATCTTTCTGAATTAAATCCATTATTTTACTACAATTGAAGGTAAACAGATTATAAAACTCCTGTGAGATAAAGACTCCCAGATATTTGATTTGTTTTAGTTCTCCAGTTACTTGGAGAGTAGTTGATTGTTAAAACTTGTGTTTTAGTTATATTTATGTCATCAGGATTCTGGAGGTATGTGGAGGTTTGTCACGATGTGCGTTTGGTTTGGTAAATGTGCGAAGGCTAAATCCCACTGCAAAACCAGCAAGAGAATGTGACTCCAGATAGGAACTTGACAAAACAGGTTTTAAAATCCTATTCCTAATCCTAACACTATTACACCCATTTTTCTTACATCCATCTGTTCAGGGTCGAGGTGTGAACCCACGATTAAAATTTGAGTGAAATCGGCCAAAGTTTGTGTGATTTGTGGATTTTACCAATGGAATAACATGAGAGTTTATGTCATCGCTATGGCAACACCAAAAATATGACATGGGTGTCACTGACTTTTGGATGGGGATGTCAAAATTGAATTTTTGTGCCAAATTTCTGAAACTTATTACATTTTGTTTCAATCTATAGGGGGCGCTAATGCACCAAATTAATATTTTTCACATTAAGTAGCTTCAGGGCAGAGAGTTTAACAACTGTTTCAAATTTCATTATAATCAGAGTTCGTTTGAGCAAATGGGAGCAATTTGTAAATTTGCAAAAATCTCCAAAATTGTGTGAATTTTTTTGTCGCTTCACTGCCCAGAGAAAATGTGGACCAAATTTGAGCCTCAGTCCTCAGAGGTGTTTGTAAAAGCTTAGCAAAGTTTAAGCCAATATTAATTTCATGACTGTAAGTGCAATTTTTGTGTGTGTGTCATTCGTATTCCCTCATGCATTTGAGAGTCGAGCCATTTTATTTATTTTTGGAAAATGGAAATAGCCAAAACTTAGAGAAGCGTGAGTTTTAACAGGTGGCAAAATTTCAGGACTTTTCATCATTGTTCAGTGGGTGAAAAAAGGGAGAGTTGGTTAGGAGAAAAAAAAAATAAGAAAAAAGAAGAAAGAAATTCTGACATGACAACAAATGTTCTGCTTTTTTTGGCCGACAAACTATACATTTTTGGAAACCTCTGGCACATTGCTACGTCATGGCGAGGGTCCCTGGTCACTATGGGCGAGTCATGTCGCGCCATTTCACTTTCCGCCCACTAGGAGCATCGCTTTGTGATACTAACAGGCCCTTCACCAGCTTCTGCCGCTCGGGCCTAAAAATAATAATAATTCGAGCAAAAACAATATATTCAAAAACATTGGAACAGCATATTATACATTTTTTGAAAACTCTCGACCTTCCCCATGTCACCGTGGGGTCATTGGTGAGTGACGGGTGCGTCTGCACCATCTCGTCGGGGTCGCCCCCTGACCTCCCATTGACTTCCATTCATTTTAGCAGTAGTAAATATGGCTCAGGTCTTGGTTGTGGGTTTCTGTGATACTGCTGTTTGTTCCGGGGGCGACCGAGAGGACGAAGCTGCACGACGTCCTCTCGCATTCGCCCAAGCGCTCATCGTTGCCCATTGGCTCCTCGTAGTGAATAGGCCTTACGGGGCTCGGGCCTAATCATTTTCACTCTGCCTCAGTCTAAAAGAGGCGACACAAACGGTCAGATCCAAAAATAAAACTATAGAACACTTTAGGATTCTGAGTTTTGCCTGTGACATACAGACTGTGGTTCTTCTGTGCATCCAGCGCCCCCTGGTGGTGACTCTGAGCCCGGGCCCCTCTACAGCTCCACTCCAGTCCTCTGTATATTTTTACTTTCTAATATGACAACAAAAACATTTTTATTTGAATTTAAACCTGCCTCTTTTCATGTTTCTGTTTTTATATGAAAACACGATGACAAAGTTGTAATAAGTTATAATAATAAGAAATAATAATAATAAGTTGTAAGTTCTTCCATTTGTGTGGAAACGACAGAGCAGAGCACGATTAAAGCCACGTTTGTGTTTGTGTGTGAGGACAGGGCACCCTGTGACATCACTGTGTGGTTAAATAAATCAATAGAGACGTGAGGAAAAGGAGCTTTTTCCTCTGAGATAAAGTGTGTGAAGCACAGAGACGTCACACTGCTCCACACTCTCCTCCTGTCCCTGCACTTTAACACACAACACACCACAGTGTGTAACATCAACTCTGTGTGCAGGGGTCCTGTGTGCAGGGGTCCTGTGTGCAGGGGTCCTGGCAGAAAACAACTCAGCAGGTAAGAAGCAACACACTCACACAGACCAGGAGTCAAACCCACAACACAGACACACCTGTGTGTGTGTGTCTGTGTGTGTGTGTGTGTGTGTGTGTGTGTGTGTGTGTGTGTGTAGTGTGTGTGTGTGTAGTGTGTGTGTGTGTGTGTGTGTATCATTGTGTGTCTCCTCTTCAGACTCTTTCAGTGTGAGGCTGGTGGGACCCAGTCGCTGTGAGGGGGAGGTGGAGTTTCAGAGACCAGGTCTGGACTGGACTACAGTGGATCCATGGTCTGTGACTCTTGGGTTTGGGGCCAGATTGTGTTCAGCGCTCGACTGTGGCACTGTTCTGTCTGTGGAGAGAAAAACAGGTCCAGAGAGAAAAGTCCTGACTGTTTCTAACAACTGTGAAGAAACATCTGTGAGTCGCTGCTTCAAAACTGAAACATCTTCCTCAGACCAGAGTCTGGAGCTCAAGTGTTCAGGTGAAAACTACACTCCTATTGGTTCAGAGTGATGATGTCACAGTCCTAGTTCAGAGTGATGATGTCACACAGAGTGATGATGTCAACAGTTCAGAGTGATGATGTCACACATGTGTGTGTCCTATTGGTTCAGAGTGATGATGTCACACATGTGTGTGTCCTATTGGTTCAGAGTGATGAAGTCACACATGTGTGTGTCCTATTGGTTCAGAGTGATGATGTCACACATGTGTGTCCTATTGGTTCAGAGTGATGATGTCACTGTTCAGTGTGTGATGTCACACATGTTCAGAGTGATGATGTCATGTGTGTCATTGGTTCAGAGTGATGATGTCATGTGTTCAGAGTGATGATGTCACACATGTGTGCGTCCTATTGGTTCAGAGTGATGATGTCACACGTGTGCGTCCTATTGGTTCAGAGTGATGATGTCACATGTGTGCGTCCTATTGGTTCAGAGTGATGATGTCACACATGTGTGCGTCCTATTGGTTCAGAGTGATGATGTCACACATGTGTGCGTCTATGTTCAGAGTGATGATGTCACACGTGTGCGTCTATTGGTTCAGAGTGATGATGTCACATGTGTGTGTCCTATTGGTTCAGAGTGATGATGTCACACATGTGTGCGTCCTATTGGTTCAGAGTGATGATGTCACATGTGTGTCCACAGAGTCGGTGCGGTTGGTCTCGGGGTCCGGTCTGTGTTCAGGATCAGTGCAGATCTGGGACGGGTCCTGGACCGGGGTCTGTGACGGGGACTTGGACCAGCGGGGGGCAGAGGTGCTGTGCAGGGAGCTGGACTGTGGGGCTCCTTCTCTCCTCCAGGGGGCGCTCTCTCCTCTGGGGCAGACGTTCCACTGTGAGGGCCATGAGTCTGCTCTGATGGACTGTCCCCGCTCCAACTCAAGCACCTGCTCCTCTGGAGCCACTGTCAACCTCACCTGCTCAGGTAAAGGGGCGGGGCTTCACTGCTCAGGTAAAGGGGCGGGGCTTCACTGCTCAGGTAAAGGGGCGGGGCTTCACGGCTCAGGTAAAGGGGCGGGGCTTCACTCTGTCTCTTGTCTGTTCAGAGCCGCTCAGGTTGGTGGGAGGAGCCAGTCGTTGTGCTGGAACTGTGGAGATGAGAGTCAGAGGAGAGTGGAGACGAGTGTTTGAGTCCTATGGACCCTATGAGAAGGAGGCTGCAGTTGGTGTGTGTAGAGACCTGGACTGTGGCTCTGCTGTTTATGGAGAATCGAGAGATGATTTTCCAGAGGGTCCTGTGTGGAGGGTCTCATCTGACTGTGTGAATAGGAAGTCTTCAGTGAGAGGATGTGTCTCTGCTGTATCTTCTTCCTCTGAGGGTCTGGACGTGGTGTGTTCAGGTAAAAGTCTGATCTTACAATTTTATGTCTCAGATGTTTTTTCTAGTTGCTCCAGACAAGTGTCAGGTGTAAAATGTGTGACGTCTAATTTAGAGTTTAGATCACACACACACACACGTCTCACAACAGTAATATCTATATTTACAACAGATATAAATCTGCACTAGTGATGATGTCACACATTGTGTGCGTCCTATTGGCTCAGACCAGGGGTGGGCAAACTTTTTGGCCCGTGGGCCACAAAGGTTCTAAAATTTGAGGGAAGGGCCAGACAGGAACAGATGGATGGAGAGAAAAAAAATAACATGGGATATGTAGAAAACCTGAGCTTGAATTTCACTTGAAAGTCTTTACAAACCATTATAACCAAATATCTGTCTTTCTAAAACACTGAAAATTAAATTAATAAAACTTTTTTTTTTTAATTATTATTACTAACAGTTACTATTTAAAAGCAGTGAAAGTTGTGTTCTCCTTCAGGATCTTCTCATCCTCTCTCTCCTCCTGACTCTTTATTTCAAAAACAGTAGAAGATGCAGATCTACTTCTGTTCAATGTTCGTCTCCAAAACTCAACAACGACCTGACACAAGGACAGAACAGAGTCAGTGTGTCAGTCTGAGAACAACCACTTCTATTTGATCTGGTGCATTGTTTATAATGAGTGTGTTTACATGAACATCAGTGTCTCGGTTACAATCGGGTTTTTTGAGTCATGCTGCATGTAAACGCACTGACCCGGTTACAAGAATGTAAAGTTGAGTGCGAATGCATCTAAAAGACAAATATTTCTGAAATACTTTCTGGGCACCATCTCGTTGTGGCTGTGAGCATATTTTCTTCTGCTTACCTCCCTAATCTGGAATTTCACTGACCAAAAAGCGCGACTGCAACACTCCCCTGTACGAGCCTCGACCCAACCAAATGTTAACAAGCCCGACCGAACCTCTACCCCATAACCCGCTCCATTTTATGTTATGATGCTCTGTGCTTAAAGACTTCGTAACATGAGCTCCACGAATCGTTCAACTTTATCTAATACCTATTTAAAATATGAACAGTGCAGCCTTATGTCTTGAACACTTCTGCCTCACTCATGGTCCGAATACACCGACCGAGAATGACTCCTGTCACTACAGTCCGAAAGAACACTTTCCCATAAAGCATTGCGGCAACATAATATGCCACACCTCAGTGTATATGTAGTGCACCATCTACTGGGAAACGCCAGAAGTGCAGGAAAAATGAAACATTAACAAGGTTTATTATTATAATTTATTCAAGTTAGGCGGGCCAGATTAAAAGGTTTAAAGGGCCGCATACGGCCCCCGGGCCGTAGTTTACCTCCCCTGGCTCAGAGTGATGATGTCACACATGTGTGCGTCCTATTGGTTCAGAGTGATGATGTCACACACAGAGTGATGATGTCACACATGTGTGTGTCCTATTGTTCAGAGTGATGATGTCACATGTGTGTGTCCTACTGGTTCAGAGTGATGAGTCACACAGATGATGATGTCACACATGTGTGCGTCCTATTGGTTCAGAGTGATGATGTCACACATGTGTGCGTCCTATTGGTTCAGAGTGATGATGTCACACATGTGTGCGTCCTATTGGTTCAGAGTGATGATGTCACACGTGTGCGTCCTATTGTTCATGTCACACATGTGTGCGTCCTATTGGTTCAGATGATGTCACACATGTGTGCGTCCTATTGGTTCAGAGTGATGATGTCACACATGTGTGTGTCCTATTGGTTCAGAGTGATGATGTCACACATGTGTGCGTCCTACTGGTTCAGAGTGATGATGTCACACATGTGTGCGTCCTATTGGTTCAGAGTGATGATGTCACACATGTGTGCGTCCTACTGGTTCAGAGTGATGATGTCACACATGTGTGCGTCCTATTGGTTCAGAGTGATGATGTCACACATGTGTGCGTCCTATGGTTCAGAGTATGATGTCACACATGTGTGCGTCTATTGGTTCAGAGTGATGATGTCACACATGTGTGCGTCCTATTGGTTCAGAGTGATGATGTCACACATGTGTGTGCGTCCTATTGGTTCAGAGTGATGATGTCACACATGTGTGCGTCCTATTGGTTCAGAGTGATGATGTCACACATGTGTGCGTCTATTGGTTCTGATGTCATGGTTCTATTGGTTTAGAGTGATGATGTCACACATGTGTGCGTCCTATTGGTTCAGAGTGATGATGTCACATGTGTGCGTCCTATTGGTTCAGAGTGATGATGTCATGTGTGTCAGTGATGATGTCACATGTGTCCACAGACTCGGTGCGGTTGGTCTCGGGGTCCGGTCTGTGTTCAGGATCAGTGCAGATCTGGGACGGGTCCTGGACCGGGGTCTGTGACGGGGACTTGGACCAGCGGGGGGCAGAGGTGCTGTGCAGGGAGCTGGACTGTGGGGCTCCTTCTCTCCTCCAGGGGGCGCTCTCTCCTCTGGGGCAGACGTTCCACTGTGAGGGACATGAGTCTGCTCTGATGGACTGTCCCCGCTCCAACTCAAGGACCTGCTCCTCTGGAGCCACTGTCAACCTCACCTGCTCAGGTAAAGGGGCGGGCTTCACTGTCCAGGTAAAGGGGCGGGGCTTCACTGCTCAGGTAAAGGGGCGGGGCTTCACTCTGTCTCTTGTCTGTTCAGAGCCGCTCAGGTTGGTGGGAGGAGCCAGTCGTTGTGCTGGGACTGTGGAGGTGAGAGTCAGAGGAGAGTGGAGACGAGTGGATGAGGCCTATGGCGTCTGGGACCCACAGGACACAGCTGTTGTGTGTAGAGACCTGAACTGTGGCTCTGCTGTTTATGGAGAAGAGAGAAGTGATTTTCCAGAGGGTCCTGTGTGGACGGTCTCACCTGACTGTGTGTTCAAGTCTTCAGTGAGAGGATGTGTCTCTGGTTCAGACTTCTCCTCTAAGGGTGTGGAGGTGAAGTGTTCAGGTAAAAGTCTGATTTGATATTTTTCTGTCTCTCAGATGTTTTTTCTAGTTGCTCCGGACGAGTGTCAGGTGTAAAATGTGTGACGTCCAATCAGTGTCTCAAAACAGTAATATCTATATTTACTACAGATACACAGAAGTGGATAAAATTGTTTTTACTCCTCTGGTAATGAAAGAAAAATCTACAATTTTTACTGAAATAACTTGAAACTAAGAAAAGCAATAATAAATAAAAATTTCCTAAAAAATAACCAATGAAAATCAGACAATGTTTTTGTTTCTGTTGTTCAACACAGTTATTTAACCTGTTCCCACCTCATTTTGGCGTGTGCACAATAGTTATACATACACAAATGTCATAGCTTCCATCCATCCATCCATTTTCTTCCGCTTATCCGGGGCCGGGTCGCGGGGCCAGCAGCCTAAACAGGGACTCCCAGACTTCCTTCACCCCAGACACGTCCTCCAGCTCCTCTGGGGGAACCCCGAGGCGTTCCCAGGCCAGCCGAGAGACATAGTCCCTCCAGCGTGTCCTGGGTCTTCCCCGGGGCCTCCTCCCGGTGGGACATGCCCGGAACACCTCCCGAGGGAGGACGCCCAGGAGGCATCCGGAACAGACGTCCGAGCCTCAACTGGCTCCTCTCGACGTGGAGGAGCAGCGGCTCTACTCCGAGCTCCTCCCGTGTGACTGAGCTCCTCACCCTATCTCTAAGGGAGACGCCCAGCCACCCTGCGGAGGAAACTCATTTCAAGCACTTGTATCCGCGATCTCGTCCTTTCGGTCACTACCCAGAGCTCACGACCAGAGGTGAGAGTAGGAACGAAGACTGACGGTAAATCGACCTCTTCACCACAACGGTCCGATACAGCGACCGCATCACTGCCGACGCTGCACCGATCCACCTGTCAATCTCACGTTCCGTCCTTCCCTCACTCGTGAACAAGACCCCGAGATACTTGAACTCCTCCACTTGAGGCAAAGACTCTCCACCCGCCCGGAGAGGGCAAGACGCCTTTTTTCCGGTCGAGAACCAACGACCTCGGACTTGGAAGAGCTGATCTTCATCCCAGCCGCTTCACTCTCGGGTCAAACCGCCCCAGTGCTGCAGGTCCTGGTTCGATGAAGCCAACAGGACAACATCATCCGCAAACAGCAGAGATGAAATCCTGTGGTCCCCAAACCGGACCCCCTCCGGCCCCTGACTGCGCCTAGAAATTCTGTCCATAAAAACAATGAACAGAACCGGTGACAAAGGTGCAGCCCTGGCGGAGTCCAACATGCACCGGGAACAGGTCTGACTTACTGCCGGCAATGCGAACACAGCTCCTGCTCCGGTCATACAGGGACCGGACAGCCCTTAGCAAAGGGCCCCGGACCCCATACTCCCAGAGCACCCCCACAGGACACCACGAGGGACACGGTTCGAATGCCCCCTCCAAGTCCACAAAAGCACATGTGGACTGGTTGGGCAAACTCCCATGAACCCTCGAGCACCCGATGGAGAGTGTAGAGCTGGTCCAGTGTTCCACGGCCAGGACGAAAACCACACTGCTCCTCCTGAATCCGAGGTTCGACCATCGTCCGGATTCTCCTCTCCAGTCCCTGACATAGACCGGGGAGGCTGAGGAGTGTGATCCCCCTGTAATTAGAACACACCCTCCGGTCCCCCTTCTTATACAGAGGGACCACCACCCCGGTTTGCCAGTCCAGAGGTACTGTCCCCGACCGCCACGCGATGTTGAAGAGGCGTGTCAGCCAAGACAGCCCCACAACATCCAGAGACTTAAGGTACTCAGGACGGATCTCATCCAACCCCAGAGCCTTGCCACCAAGGAGTTTGCCAACCACCTCGGTGACTTCAGCCAGGGTGATGGATGAGTCCGCCTCCGAGTCCCCAGCCTCGGCCTCCTCCTCGGAAGACGTGACGGTGGGATTGAGGAGATCCTCAAAGTTTTCCTTCCACCGTCGGACAACGTCCCCAGTCGAGGTCAGCAGCTCTCCCCCCGCACTGGAAACAGTGTTGGTGAAGAACTGCTTCCCCCTCCTGAGGCGCCGGACGGTTTGACAGAATCTCTTTGAGGCCGTCCGATAGTCCTTCTCCATGGCCTCCCCAAACTCCTCCCAGCTCTGAGTTTTTGCCTCTGCAACCACACGGGCTGCAGCACGCTTGGCCCGCCGGTACCTGTCAGCTGCCTCAGGACTCCCATGAGCCAACAAAGGCCGATAGGACTCCTTCTTCAGCTTGGCAGCATCCCTTACTTCCGGTGTCCACCACCGGGTTCGGGGATTGCTGCTGCGACAGGCACCACAGACCTTACGCTCACAGCTCCGAGCAGCCGCATCGACAATAGAGGCCGAGAATGAAGCCCACTCGGACTCCATATCTCCAGCCTCCCCCGGAATCCGGGAGAAGTCCTCCCGGAGGTGCGAGTTGAAAGTCCCTCTGACAGAGGCTCCGCCAGACGTTCCCAACAGACCCTCACTACACGCTTGGGCCTGCCAGGTCTTTCCGGCTTCCTCCTCCGCCAGCGAACCCAACTCACAACCAGGTGGTGATCAGTTGACAGCTCAGCCCCTCTCTTCACCCGAGTGTCCAAGACACGCGGCCGGAGGTCAGATGACACGACGACAAAGTCGATCATCGACCTCCGGCCTAGGGTGTCCTGGTGCCACGTGCACTTATGGACCTTGTGCTCGAACATGGTGTTTCGTTATGGACAAACTGTGACTAGCACAGAAGTCCAATAACAAAACACCGCTCGGGTTCAGATCAGGGAGGCCGTTCCTCCCAGTCACCCCTCTCCAAGTGTCACTGTCGTTGCCCACGTGGGCGTTGAAGTCCCCCAGGAGAACAACGGAGTCCCCGGTCGGTGCACTGTCTAGTACCCCTCCCAGGGACTCCAAGAAGGCCGGGTACTCGAGTACTCAGCACTGCTGTTCGGCCCGTAGGCCGACACCACAGTGAGAGACCTGTCCCCGACCCGAAGGCGCAGGGACGCGACCCTCTCGTTCACCGGGGTGAACTCCAACACACAGCGGACTGAGCTGTGGGGCAATGAGCCACACCAGGGGATGGTGTCATTTTGAAGCTAAGAGTGTGAGGAAAACAAGCGTACCCAAGCGCGCCAAGAGAAACGGAACTCAGAGAGGGAGAAGGCTCGGAAAGGCAACAGATATATTTTCATTCACGCATTCATCCATTTATACGGACGAGGTTTTTCTGGATTATTTACCCACATGGAATTATTTTATGGAAAAACAACTTGATATTCTTTTTCTGTGGATTATTACAACTTCTCCTGGACTGAACGCGTTTTGGACTGAGAGTTTGCCTCTAAAACTTGTGTAACAAAATATTAAGTTAATGGAACCATCATTTTGTCCAGGCCAGTTTCATTATTTAGTTTTTTCTAATGATTCTGTTGAACCACACGTGAAAAAACAAAGTTTAATTTTTGTTGGACAATTTTCAGTATTATTTTTATGTATTATTATTGCTTTTCTCAGTGTCAAGTTATTTCAGTGACCATTGTTGATTTTTCTTTCATTGCCAGAGGGAACCAACAATTTTGTCCATGACTGTAAATCTGCACTATAGTGATGATGTTGTCACACACATGTGTGTGCGTCCTATTGGTTCAGAGTGATGATGTCACACATGTGTGTGTCCTATTGGTTCAGAGTGATGATGTCACACATGTGTGCGTCCTATTGGTTCAGAGTGATGATGTCACACATGTGTGCGTCCTATTGGTTCAGAGTGATGATGTCACACATGTGTGCGTCCTATTGGTTCAGAGTGATGATGTCACATGTGTGCGTCCTATTGGTTCAGAGTGATGATGTCACACATGTGTGTGCGTCCTATTGGTTCAGAGTGATGATGTCACATGTGTGTGCGTCCTATTGGTTCAGAGTGATGATGTCACATGTGTGTCCTATTGGTTCAGAGTGATGATGTCACACATGTGTGCGTCCTATTGGTTCAGAGTGATGATGTCACACATGTGTGCGTCCTATTGGTTCAAGAGTGATGATGTCACATGTGTGTCCACAGAGTCGGTGCGGTTGGTCTCGGGGTCCGGTCTGTGTTCAGGATCAGTGCAGATCTGGGACGGGTCCTGGACCGGGGTCTGTGACGGGGACTTGGACCAGCGGGGGGCAGAGGTGCTGTGCAGGGAGCTGGACTGTGGGGCTCCTTCTCTCCTCCAGGGGGCGCTCTCTCTCCTCTGGGGCAGACGTTCCACTGTGAGGGACATGAGTCTGCTCTGATGGACTGTCCCCGCTCCAACTCAAGCACCTGCTCCTCTGGAGCCACTGTCAACCTCACCTGCTCAGGTAAACCTCACCTGCTCAGGTAAAGGGCTCAGCTCAGGTAAAGGGCGGGCTTCACGGCTCAGGTAAAGGGGCGGGCTTCACTGCTCAGGTAAAGGGGCGGGCTTCAGTGCTCAGGTAAAGGGGCGGGGCTTCACTGCTCAGGTAAAGGGGCGGGGCTTCAGTGCTCAGGTAAAGGGGCGGGGCTTCACTCTGTCTCTTGTCTGTTCAGAGCCGCTCAGGTTGGTGGGAGGAGCCAGTCGTTGTGCTGGAACTGTGGAGGTGAAACACAGAGGAGAGTGGAGACGAGTGGATGAGCACTATGGATTCTGGTACCAGGAGGCCACAGTTGGTGTGTGCAGAGACCTGGACTGTGGCTCTGCTGTTTATGGACAAAAGAGAGGTGGTTTTCCAGAGGGTCCTGTGTGGATGGTCTCACCTGACTGTGTGAAGGAGTCTTCAGTGAGAGGATGTGTCTATAGTTCCTCCTCCTCTTCCTCGGGTGTGGAGGTGAAGTGTTCAGGTAAAAGTCTGATCTTACAGTTTTATGTTTCTTAAACTGTTTTCAGGTTGGTCTGAACGGTGCCGGTGCTCACATCAGTTACACTGGGAACCAAAGTTCTTCCTGGTGAACGAGCCATGTTCAAACCGTTTAAGTGAACCCATGATGATCATCGACAGAGGATGTGGATTTACCACCAAATAAAACTTCAACTCTTCCATAAAGACCTCTTCACTTGTGTCCAGACTGTCCGGACAGTAGATGACTGTACCTGGGCCCCACTGGTTTCTGTCAGTTCTGAGCTGGTGTCGTTGCTGAACAGCTTCTGATTCCAAAGGATGATAAACTTGATGTGTCTTTCATCTGCTGCACTAAGTTTCCTTGGATGACCACTGCGTCTATGATCCTCAACGTCGCCTGTGTCTTTGTGCTTCTTCAAAAGAGCTTGAACAGCACATGTTGAAACCCCAGTCTGCTTTAAATCTTTGTCTGGGAGAGACGTTGCTGATGCAGTAGAACTACACTGTGTGTTGTTGCTGTGCTCGGTCTTGTCGTGGTGTTTGACCTGAAACATGAGACGGTTTTCCACAACTTCACCTTGGTCGCAGAGTTTGACTGTTCCTCACCCAGTCTGAGGCCTCCTACACTCACAGCTCTTTCTGTTTCAGTTCATGACTGTGTTCCAACCTACGTGTGACACTGATGATCATTAGCTCCTGTTTGGTAGAACTGGTTGGTCAAACACCGACTATAATCCTACAGAATCCTGGACTTTGTGTGAACTGATGTTGGTTTGAAGGCAAAAGGCAGTGACACCAAATATAGATTTGATTTAGAATTTTCTTTTGTTCGTTCACTTTGCATTTTGTAAATTGATAAAAACAAACAAACAAACATATCATTATTTATATTTTTGAAAGAATTCTTTGTTTACAGCATTTTAAAAAACTAAACTTTTGCACAGTATTTCCCACAAGTACAAATCTGCACTGTGATGTCACACATGTGTGCGTCCTATTGGTTCAGAGTGATGATGTCACACATGTGTGTGTCCTATTGGTTCAGAGTGATGATGTCACATGTGTGCGTCCTATTGGTTCAGAGTGATGATGTCACACATGTGTGTGTCCTATTGGTTCAGAGTGATGATGTCACATGTGTGCGTCCTATTGGTTCAGAGTGATGATGTCACACATGTGTGTGCGTCCTATTGGTTCAGAGTGATGATGTCACACATGTGTGCGTCCTATTGGTTCAGAGTGATGATGTCACACATGTGTGCGTCCTATTGGTTCAGAGTGATGATGTCACACATGTGTGCATCCTATTGGTTCAGAGTGATGATGTCACACATGTGTGCGTCCTATTGGTTCAGAGTGATGATGTCACACATGTGTGCGTCCTATTGGTTCAGAGTGATGATGTCACATGTGTGTCCACAGAGTCGGTGCGGTTGGTCTCGGGGTCCGGTCTGTGTTCAGGATCAGTGCAGATCTGGGACGGGTCCTGGACCGGGGTCTGTGACGGGGACTTGGACCAGCGGGGGGCAGAGGTGCTGTGCAGGGAGCTGGACTGTGGGGCTCCTTCTCTCCTCCAGGGGGCGCTCTCTCCTCTGGGGCAGACGTTCCACTGTGAGGGACATGAGTCTGCTCTGATGGACTGTCCCCGCTCCAACTCAAGGACCTGCTCCTCTGGAGCCACTGTCAACCTCACCTGCTCAGGTAAAGGGGCGGGGCTTCACCTGCTCAGGTAAAGGGGCGGGGCTTCACTCTGTCTCTTGTCTGTTCAGAGCCGCTCAGGTTGGTGGGAGGAGCCAGTCGTTGTGCTGGAACTGTGGAGGTGAGAGTCAGAGGAGAGTGGAGACGAGTGGGGATCAATAGATACTCGGGCTTGGAGTCCTGGGAGCAGGAGCACACATCTGGTGTGTGTAGAGACCTGGACTGTGGCTCTGCTGTTTCTGGAGAAAGAGAGAGATGATTTTCCACAGAGTCCTGTGTGGAGGGTCTCACCTTACTGTGTGTTGAAGTCTTCAGTGAGAGGATGTGTCTTTGGTTTCTCTTCTTCTTCTTCCTCAGGGTCTGGACGTGGTGTGTTCAGGTAAAATTCTGATCTTACATTTTTCTGTCTCAGATGTTTTTTCTAGTTGCTCCAGACGAGTGTCAGGTGTAAAATGTGTGACGTCCAATCAGAGTTTAGATCACACACACACACAGACTGATGTGTCCAATCACGTGTCTCCACAGAGCTCCTGAATCGTCCAATCATCTCCGTGTCTGTGAGTGACGGGGCGTCCGAGCTCCAGCCTCAGGGGGTGCGGGTGCAGCTGGGCTCAAAGTTCAGGGTCAAATGCTCCGTGGAGCCACAGTACCCGGGAGGCTCCTTCCGGCTCCTCTCTCCCGCCGCGCCCCCCGCTCAGAACCGCACCCTGCCCGCCGTCAATCACTCCGCCCACTTCCTGTTCTCTGACGCTGACCACGCCCACAAAGGAAACTACACCTGTGTTTACCTCCTGCAGGTGTTCAACCACAACTTCTCCTCTCAGAGCCACACACTCCAGCTCTCTGTGGGAGGTACACACACACACACACACACACACACACACACACACACACACACACACACACACACACTATACACACACACACACACACACACACACACACACACACACACACTATACACACACACACACACACACACACACACTATACACACACACACACTATACACACACACACACACACACACACACACACACACACACACACTATACACACACACACACTACACACACACACACACACACACACACACACACTATACACACACACACACACACACACACACATTATCACACACACACACACACACACACACTATACACACACACACACACACACTATACACACACACTATACACACACACACACACACACTATACACACACACTATACACACACACTATACACACACACGCACACACACTATACACACACACACACACTATACACACACACACACACTATACACACACACACACACACACACACTATACACACACTATACACAGACACACACACACACACACACACATACACACACACACACACACACACACTATACACACACACACACTATACACACACACACTATACACACACACACACACACACACACACACTATACACACACACACTATACACACACACACACTATACACACACACTATACACACACACACTATACACACACACACACACTATCACACACACACACACACACTATACACACACACACACACACACACACTATACACACACACACACACACTATACACACACACACACACACACACACACTATACACACACACACACACACACTATACACACACACACTATACACACACTATACACACACACACACACACACACACACACACACATACACACACACACACACACTATACACACACACTATACACACACTATACACACACACACACACACACACACTATACACACACACATACTATACACACACACACACACATTATACACACACACACACACACACACACACACACTATACACACACACACACACACACACACTATACACACACACACACACACACACACACTATACACACTATACACACACACACTATACACACACACACACACACACTATACACACACACACTATACACACTATACACACACACTATACACACACACACACACACACACACACACACTATACACACACACACACACACACACACATTATCACACACACACACACACATTACACACACACACACACTATACACACACACACACACACACACATTATACACACACTATACACACACACACTATACACACACTATACACACACACACACACACACTCCAGCTCTCTGTGGGAGGTACGGTCAGATAAACACTCAGGTCTTGGTCTTGGTCTTGGTCTGATCTGGGTCTTTTGTGTTGCAGAGTCAGACTCAGACCTGATCATCAGAGTCGTGGTGATTCTTCTGTTGAAGCTCCTGTACATCCTCCCAATGTCCTACTACTACTGCAAGGTACTGACTCTACACCTGGTCTACACCTGGTCTACACCTGGTCTACACCTGGTTTAGACCTGGTTTAGACCTGGTTTAGACCTGGTTTAGACCTGGTTTAGTCCTGGTTTAGTCCTGGTTTAGACCTGGTTTAGTCCTGGTTTAGTCCTGGTTTAGTCCTGGTTTAGACCTGGTTTAGTCCTGGTTTAGACCTGGTTTAGACCTGGTTTAGTCCTGGTTTAGACCTGGTTTAGACCTGGTTTAGACCTGGTTTAGTCCTGGTTTAGACCTGGTTTAGACCTGTTTTTGTGCCTGTTGTTTCAGGTCCGGGCCAGAGGCGGCGCTAGAGAGAGGCTCCAGCTGAGAGTGAGACTGGTTCAGATGTGAGTTGGTCCAGTTTCAGACTGGATCATTAACATCTTTAGCTTCAGTAACATTTCATCTTCCCAAAACAAAAGGGGGAAATAGTCAAACCAAATCAGAACCACTTTCAGAACCAAGGAGAAGGAGATTTTCCAACCATGAAGAGTTGAAGGAGTGAAATTGTCTCGTGTGGCTGTAAAATCAAATATCCTGCTTTCAATTCAAGAGTTTCTCCTCTGAAAAGGAACGTACTGGAACTTTGATTTGTTTCCCGTTCTACTACAAATATGAATCCCCTCATTTCATTGGATTTGTTTACACTTTGTATTTTTTCTGTGTAACTGTTGAAGGCCCTGCCCCCACTCCTGTCGCCCCCACCTCCATTGGCTGAAGAAAGGTGAAGGTTTTGGTGCCAGCTTTATTCACAGATTTTTTCTTATTCATTTGATATTATTAAGAGTGTTTTATTTTGTCAAATAGCAGCTTTTAGAGCATTAGTCAATCATATAATGGAGTAAAATGATTCTTAGAGCATTTAGTGGCATCTTTATGATTTATATTAATACGATTTATCTGATTTTGCTTTTGTAACTTTGTGTATGCAACAATGGACTGTGATACTATAGAGGCTTTGCACCGTCACGTGACGCCTACAGCAACGGTACCTACGCCGCCATGACACCGGACACACTATGTCACTGACTTCAGCAGCGTCAGAGAAACATGGGCAGGTTTTGTTGTGTATTTGGTTGTTCTAGACCAGGGGTGGGCAAACTTTTTGGTTTGTGGGTCATGAAGGTTCTAAAACGTGATGGAAGGGCCGGACCAGGAGCAGATGGATGGAGTTTTTTGGTAATCCACCTCATAAGAGAAAAACATAACATGGGCTTTGTAGAAAACATATATCATGTTATTAAAATATCCCATAATTGAACATTATTACAAAGCATTACAACTAAATATCTGTCTTTCAAGTCCCACGGTGTTTACTGTTTATTGAAATTAACAGTCACATAAAATCAATAACATCTGCAGCCTTTTACCATCTAAAAAACATAGCAAAAATCAAAGGTTTACTGTCTAAAGCAGACTTGGAGAAACTTATCCATGCATTTGTCTCCAGTAGGTTAGATACTGTAATGTTCTGCTCACTGGTCTCTCCAAACGAGCTGTGAGACGCTGCAGAACATCCAGAACGCTGCAGCTCGGGTCCTTACTCGAACTAGAAGTACGAGCACATAAGTCCTGTGCTCAGGTCTCTGCACTGGTTCCTGTGCCTCAGAGAATAGACTTTAAAGCAGCTCTGCTTGTGTACAAGTCTCTCCATGGCCGAGCACCAAAGTACATCTGTGACATGTTCGTGTCATATGAACCATCTCGCACTCTGAGGACCTCAGGGACCGGCCTCCTGCTGGTGCCCAGAGTCAGAACTAAACAAGGGGAGTCGCGTTTTCAGGTTCATGCAGCTAAAACCTGGAACAGTCTTCCTGAACATGTGAGACAGACTCTTCTGTGACGCTGTTTAAATCCAGACTCAAAACATTTCTGTTTTAACTGTGCATATAACTGAAAGGTTTTCATTCCGCACTCTTCTCTCCAATTTATGTCTCTCTTTTTTAATTTTAATCTTCATGATTATTTATGTTTTGATTTGTTTTTATTATGATTTTAATGTATTTCTTATTCTGTAAAGCACTTTGAATTACTTTGTGTACGAATTGTGCTATACAAATAAACTTGCCTTGCCTTGCCTTGAAATGACTTTTAAAACACTGAAAATTACTGTTATTGTTATTTTTATTATTCAAGTTCCACGGGCCGGATTAAAGAGATTAAAGGGCCGCATATGGCCCCTGGGACGTAGTTTGCCCACCTCTGTTCTAGACGCTCTGAACGAGATAAAACAAATCGTTTCTTCACTGTTCCTCTGGAAATGACTCATCAGGATCAAACAAGGGAATTATCAAAAAAAAGAAAAGGGAATTATGTCTAGAAACATAAACCATGAAGAGATTTCCTATGGTCCATCAAGACACACTCACGTCACTTTCATCAAGATATTTACTATTTAAATAGTTTCATAGTTTATTTAATGAGAGAAGCACATTTACTGAACTAAAATGTAAAAAGAAAACATTTGCAGTGTGAGTGGCAGTAGAAACTGGATCTTCCAGCACATATAAACATGTAGCGGCTATACGATACTGTGTTTCCTGGTAGCCGCGGAGAGGTAAAATTGGGTTCTGCAAAAGTTATGACGCGCTGAATGCGATGTAAAACAGATGAGGCTGGATCCAGTGTGCGTTTACGGTAGTTTAATACAGAGCTGGGTTCACAGCGACAAGCGTAAGTATATGGACCAAGAGCAAGGATATCGTAAAAAATGAATACTGTTTGAAAACGTAAAACCAGAAACAAAAGCAATAGCGGTCAACAAAAATTACGGCTACCCAACCAACCTCTCTCCTCCTCCCTGGCCCAGGTGAGTGTGCACCATTTATGCTTTTCCACACCCACACACACACACACCCCACGCTCACGTGACCCCACCTCCTCTCAGAGAACAGACACACACACACGCGCAAGCGCACTGTGCCCAAGTGTCTCCTATACACCAGCCCCTAATTATTGAATCTCACAATAATTACTCAAAACATTAATAGGAGACATAACAATTACCATAAATCATATCAATGCCAGTGTCCCAAGAATAATAGTCCATAGGAAATCCTCGTTTCTTCCAGTCACTAAGTGACCTACAGTCCAAGAGTCAATAATCCAGAGTCAATAAGAACTGTCCAAAATACTCCAGTCAAAAAAGGTAGAAGAAAATAGTCACTTTGAGGCCTGCAACATCCTTATGCAGCCTCAGCCTCCATCAGCAGACAGACCTTGGAAATAGGCCGGTCTAGGCAGTTAGTAGTCTTTGTTTTAATCCGGACCTGGCGAACTAGTCCCTTTTTGTCCGCAAACGTTTCCAACACTCTTCCCATAATCCAGGAGTTTCGTGGAGCAGTACTGTCCATAATGATCACAATATCTCCGGGGGTGAGATTCCTTTTCACTTTAGACCAGCGCTGGCGTTCTTGCAGTAGAGGTAAGTATTCTTTGGTCCACCGTTTCCAGAACAGGTCTGACATGTATTGAACCTGTCTCCATCTTCTTGTGGCGTATAGGTCGGCAGGCTGGAACTTCCCTGGTGGTAAGGAGGGTAAGTTCTTCAGGAGCAGCAAGTGGTTAGGTGTTAAAGCCTCAAGGTCATTCGGATCTGTGGAGGCCTTTGTGATGGGCCGGCTATTAATAATTGACTCTGCCTCACACAGCACTGTTTGAAGGCCTTCTTCGTCAAGATGTTGCACTTTGAGAGTTGAATTAAGCACTTTCCTCACAGACCGAATGAGCCTTTCCCACACTCCTCCATGATGGGATCCTGCTGGGGGGTTAAAGGTCCACTTGATGCCCTTCTGCAACAACATGTCATTAATCTGTGTGTGGTTCCACTGTTCTATTGCCAGTTTCAGCTCTCTTTCAGCTCCAATGAAGTTTGTGCCGTTATCAGAGCGCAGTTCCCGAACTTGTCCCCTCCTGGCTATGAAACGTCTGAGAGCATTTATAAATGAGTCAGTGTCCAAGGACGGAGCCACCTCAATGTGCACAGCTCTTAAGGCGAGGCAGGTAAACAGCACCCCGTACCTCTTCACTATGCTTCTCCTGCTTTTCACCTCAAATGGGCCAAAATAATCCACTCCAACACATGTAAATGGAGGCTCATCTGGCTGTACTCTATCTTTAGGCAAATCTGCCATCTGCTGGTTGACTGGTGAAGCATTCAATCTCCTGCATATGGTGCATTTTGACAACACCCCTTTGATTGCTGTGCCTCCACCTGTGATCCAGTATCTTTCACGAAGCTTGGACAGCATATGATTTCGGCCACTGTGACCAACTTCTTGATGAATATGTCTGAGCAACAAGGGGAGATGTAGAATTCCTTGGCTAGAATGATTGGATGTTTTGACTCCATTGGCATAGAGGATCTGCTGAGCCTGCCACCAACCCGCAGGACCCCATCTTCCAGTATTGGACACAGTGAATATAGATGACTAGTTCTCTTAATGCTCTCTCCTTTCTCCAAACTCCTGACTTCGTCTGGGAACCTTCTCTCTTGGCAGAACTTTATAACTGCAAGCTCTGCATCATTCATGTCTTGGACCGTAAGACTGCCTGGCACAAGAGTTGCTTTAAATGTCTTTAGCTCCTCATCCAGACTCAGCTGTTCATCCACACTGAGGCTGCCTTGAGCATAGCTTGCTTGCAGCTCCTTCCTCTTCCTGTAACAGCCCTGCAGCCATTTTTTGTATCTCAGCCACCATGCCACACATTTCTTTAGGAGGAACCAGGAGGAAAAGTAGTGAATCAGGTAAGTTGTTGGATCTTCTTTTGTCACTGTAACATTGACTGTGATAGTGGTTTTGACCTCTGGGTCATCCGGAAAAATCTCATGCAGTGTCTCAGGATTCACAGGCCACTCACTCTCAGATTGACGGAGAAAGTGAGGCCCTGACACCCACACTTTATCTTTGAGGAACTTCTCAGCCTTGAGCCCTCTAGAGGCTGTGTCTGCGGGATTGGAGCCTGTGTCCACATATCTCCACTGGTCCTGATGAGAGGATTTTAAAATCTCAGCCACACGATTTGCCACGAATACTCTGAACCTGGTTGTCTCGTTCCTGAGGTACTTTAACACTGATGCACTGTCAGTCCAAAACACCGATTCCTCTAGGTTCATGTGTAGTTCCTTTCTCCATAATGCATCAACACGACTGGCCATTGTGGCTGCCACAAGCTCCATTCTGGGAATAGTGACTGCTTTTACAGGTGCAACACGAGATTTTCCCATTATGAAGGCACTATGTCTTTGATGGTGTTCATTTTGCAGCAGCAGGTAAGTCACTGAACCATAACCATCTTCACTGGCATCAGAAAAGTGATGTAATTGTGCCTTTGTCACATTCCCAAACTCCTGGGGCTTTATACACCTGTCCAGCCTTGAAGTTATCCAACAGATGGAGCCCTTGTATCCACTTCAGCCACTCCCGAGAAGCTGTCTCCGGTATCTGCTCATCCCAGCCAATTGCCCTTCGACACAGGTCTCTCAATATCAATTTTGCCACCAGAACAACAGGACTCAACATTCCCAGAGGGTCGTAAATGGAGCTCACAGTTGAGAGGATTCCTCTGCGGGTAAGAGGTCTTTCTTTGAGAACAATTCTGAACTTGAACATGTCTGATTGAATACACCATTCAACACCAAGTACTCTTTCGACTGGCAAAGATGGCTGCTCAAAGTCCAGCTTCATCACACCCTTAGCTCTGTTCTCATCTGGAATGCATTCAAGAACCTGGGGCTTATTGCTTAGCCACTTTGTTAGGCAAAATCCACCTTCTGCACATAAAGAGACCAGTTCTTCGTACAGCACAACTGCTTCCTCTTCAGTTGGAACCGACACAAGGCAATCGTCTACATAGAAACAATGAAAGATCTTAGCCACTGTTTCCTCTTTAAACCGGTGTCCAAAATCCTCAGCACATTTCCTTAAAGCAAAGTTGGCACAGGAGGGGGATGAGGTCGCTCCAAACAGATGAACTTTCATCCTGAACTCTGCAGGTGCTTGGCTTAGATCCCCCTGTGGCCACCACAGAAACCTCAGTAGGTCAGCGTCCTCGGGAGGGACTCGTACCTGATGGAACATGGATTCGATATCCGCCATGATGACAACTGGCTCCTTTCTAAACCGAGTCACAACTCCTATTAGTGAACTGGTCAGATCTGGGCCTTGTAGCAACTGCTCGTTGAGAGAGCTTCCTTTAAAACTGGCACCACAGTCAAATACCACCCTCAGCTTCCTCTTGGTGGGATGATAAACGCCGTGATGTGGTATGTACCAGACTTTGCCATCACATCGGTCCAACTCATTTTCTGGCACTTTCTCTGCA